AATTATTTTTTCAAGAAGTTAAGGAGGTGGTTAGTTGGCAATGGTCAAAGTACAAATTATGGTGAAGCTAGGTTGCCACTAAATCAAAAGCTATCTACCCTATCTTCTCGATATAGAGGCAATAGTTAGGATTTGAGCTAAGAAGTTCGATTCGCAATGGACAGGTGTTAAAAACAAATGAATTGCACAAGTGATTTAGAGATGATGTATAATTGCTATAAAACTAAGGGGTTATGTTTATCTCATTTTACATGAGATAAACAACTCTCCTACACACACAAAAAAGAGTTGAGTCTCACTATTCTTTTTCTCTCTCCTCTTACCTGTGGTTTCACTTATACTTTTATTTCAACAACATGAGATAATTTTTTTCCTACAACATAAGCAAAATATATCCCTAAAACTAATGTCAAGGCGATATCATTTTGTGATTGATGAAGCTAAGCGATAGAAAATGGAAATAACGAGAAATACAAATAACCTAGAGCTTTCGAGAGGCTCCAAAACTTCTCTATATAATTACGAACACCCCCTTCTCCTCTCTTAAATCCACTCTCCCCTAATAAACGTGTCAGGCGGGTCCAAGAGGAAGCCCGTGGCAGGGGACCACCACCAATGAGCTAAGGCTACAACAACCGTAGCAAGTGGATCCGACACCATGTCTCAACCCAAAACCTTAAGGCATTGGGTTCATGGGTCCCTTCCACTTATATACTCTTCACTTAGGCCATTACCAACCAATATGAGACTCATCACACTTGAATATCCCAACAATCTCCCCCTCAAGTGTGAAACTCACCATTGGTATGCTCCTCCTCAACCGAGTACCCCAAGCGCAAAGTACTCGACCCGCCTCCTAGCCAATCACCAGGCCCAACCCGGCTATGATACCAATGTCAGACGGGTCCAGGGAGAAGCTCGTGGCGGGGGACCACCACCAATGAGCTAAGGCTACAACAACCGTAGCAAGTGGATCCGACACCATGTCTCAACCCAAAACCTTAAGGCATTGGGTTCATGGGTCCCTTCCATTTATATAGTCTTCACTTAGCTCATTACCAACCAATGTGAGACTCATTACACTTGAATATCCAACCAATCTCCCCCTCAAGTGTGAAACCCACTATTGGTATACTCCCCCTCAATCGAGTACCCCAATCGCAAAGTACTCAACCCGCCTCCTAGCCAATCACCAGGCTAGGTCGAGCCCAACCCGGCTCTGATACCAATGTCAAGCAGGTCCAGGGAGAAGCCCGTGGCGGGGGGCCACCACCAATGAGCTAAGGCTACAACAACCGTAGAAAGTGGATCTGACACCATGTCTCAACCCAAAACCTTAAGGCATTGGGTTCATGGGTCCCTTCCACTTATATACTCTTCACTTAGCCCATTACCAACCAATGTGGGACTCATTACACTTGAATATCCCAACAATCTCCCCCTCAAGTGTGAAACCCACTATTGGTATGCTCCCCCTCAACCGAGTACCTCAATCGCAAAGTACTCAACCCGCCTCCTAGCCAATCACCAGGCTAGTTCGAGCCCAACCCGGCTCTGATACCAATGTCAAGCGGGTCCAGGGAGAAGCCCGTGACGGGGGGCCACCACCAATGAGTTAAGGCTACAACAACCGTAGCAAGTGGATTTGACACCATGTCTCAACTCAAAACCTTAAGGCATTGAATTCATGGGTCCCTTCCATTTATATACTTTTCACTTAGCCCATTACCAACCAATATGGGACTCATTACACTTGAATATCCCAACAAAACGTTTTCCTCCTAATTTTGGGTCAGGTAAACCTCTTTATGATTAATTTTGTTTGAGTCTTACTCTTTTATTACTTCTGATAAAGGAATATCTACTCCCGTAATATTGAAGATATTCTCTTCCCACTCATGCAACCTGATTCTTTTATAATTTAGGGTTTAGGATTCTAGTGTATGCCTCATATGATACATTTGCACTATAGGAGGTTTCTAAACAATAGATTTGGTCATTAAAGCCATTCAAACCCTTGTGACGATAACAGATTGGAAGGATAAACTAATATGTTCTTATCAAAAGTTAGGAACCTCTATTTGCTCCAATCTTATTTAATTCTAACCCAAAGCTATACCTAATATTTACTACAAGTTTTAGATTATTAAATGCTCTTATACCGAAAGTTCCCTACGATGACACATCCCCGATTTCATGTTGTAATATCCATTTCAAGAAGTATCTTATTATATTGATTATTGTTACTTAGAACTAGAGATTTCTCCTTATCAATTCCAAATTCATTGTTCAACCTTTTTTCTATGCATTTCAGCATTAGTTGGTATCAAGAGTTTAGGTTGACTTTCGTTAACTACTGAACAAAGTTGTGATGAGTGTAGACGGTCACAGTGGTAAGGGACATGGAATTGCCCTAGAAACTAAAGATAAATAGCTATGTCAGAGAGATCTATTCGACATAGAAAACAAAGAGCTACGACTACGAATCTAGGAACTAGAACAAGAATTTATGATATTGCAGTTGCCCATTCAAATTGAAGACACCATGGAATCTGGAGATACGCCTGATGACGAGAAGAGAAACATCAATCTCTTTACGGTTCTAAGTCAGGGTCAAAATTAGGGAATTCGACGTAGAATTCAATCCTTTTTTCAAAACATTGTGATAAGGATCGAGATTCCTGCGTTTGAGGGGAAAATCACCTAGATAAGTTTATCAACTGGTTGCATATCGTCAAGAGGATCTTTGACATCAAAAATCTAATCTTTTGGTTAAATTAGTGGCGTTCAGATTAAGGAAGTATGCCTTAATTTAATGGAAACACATGAAAATATAGTGTGCTACAGAGGAAAACTCCAAGATTGTGACATAGGATAAGAAGATGATGTTATGTAAGAAGTATGCCTCATTATAGGGAGGAAGCATTTTTCAAATATCGTGACCTAAAACAACATAATTTAACGGTTGAGTAGTATACCAATAAGTTTGACCACCTAAGCATGTGTTGCGATGTGGCTAAGGAAGATGAACAAACGACTGCTCGATATTTGTGAGGGTTGTGAATTGAGTTTTTTTTATGTTATTCAGTTGTATCAATATTGGAGCTATGATTATGTGTGCATATTGGCTTTAAAGATGGAAGGTGAAGGGTGATGTAAAAGAAATGGTAGTGGTCTCAAATAACACAGTCGATTTTCCAAGCAGCGAAGATTGATAATTCGACACTAGTGGTTGCAAAGGAAGCGATTTTCAAACCTTCTTTCAAAGAAGGGCGTAGTAGAAGCAAATCTACCAATGGAGGAGCTATAACCAAGATGTGCTACAAGTGCCAAGGGATTCGGCATTTCGCTAGAGATGGTCCAAATTGACATATTATTAGGCTTGTTGAAGCTCCAATCTATCAGACGCAGTTATCTTCTTGAGGAGAGAATCCATATCCCCTACCATCATGACTCTGTCATCCACGACCTCTAAGATTCTATTCAGCCATTAGTTGAAGACAATCTAGTGCTCTTATACCAAATGATACAGAAAGCTCATAGAAAAGTGATTAAACAAAAAAACTATGATTTGATAAAAGAGAAACCTTTATTCTCAATTATAATTATCAAAATAAAAAAATATTTAACTCCTACAATAAGGGTCTTAAGCACCCTATTATAAACTAATTTTAAATCAATTCAAAATTCAAAACCCTTAAAATAAAGAAAATTTCTAAAAATAAAAATAATTCATTACAATAAAGTCATTTAGAACATTTACTAAATCTTAGATCTCAAATCATGTCAAATTGGTTGTTTTCCCTTTTTTGGTCGAACAGATTATAATCAAATATACTTCTTCATTTGGACTTGAATTTTGTTGTAATTTGTTAGACTTCAAATTGCTGCTTCTTTGGATATGTGAGGAAAAGATTATTTCAACCATTTGTAATGAGCCAACTCTAAATGTATCATTCTCCCTATTAGAAAAAGATTCGCCCTTAAATATGCTTTGACTTTATTGATATCGACCATCTCAAAATGCCAATATAGCACCATTTTTTGTACTACATTAAAGCAAGGGTAGAACCTTTAGAAGGAGTTTTGAAACTATCATAATTCTGCTTAACCATGACAATTGTAAAAATTTGAATTGTGTTTACGGTCTCTTCTAGGATGGGTTCTTTTGCAATGTACATTAGCTCTGATTGGACTGGATAATGGGATTCTCCTTTTCATATGCTAACAATTAATGATTGAATTTGAATATCACAAGTCTTATGTTCATAGATTGGATCACTGTCACAATCATTCTCTCCGTCGAAATCATCTTAGATTGGAACATTGTTACAATCTCGTTCTCCATCGAAGTCATCATATATGAGATCATAAACTGAACTGTTAAGCTAAAAGTGCATAAAAAAAAGGCTGAACAAACGAATTTGAGACTGATAAGGAGAAAACCCCGATTCTCAATAACGATAATCAATAATCAATATTCAAAATTCAAAAACCTACTATTGAAGTCCTAAACGCCCTCTTATAAGGTGTTAAAAAACCCTAAAACGTAATTCAAGTATGCCTAAACAAAGAAAAGTTTAAATATAGTTGATTACAAATAAATTAGCATTAAACACACCTGATCTAAAGAAATAATTAAAATTGAATTAACCGAATAATTATAAGATTAAGAAAAGAAATCAAATCATATTCCAAACCTAAGCCTTCCTATGTAAGCAAATTATGAGTGCTTAATGCTACTTTTCTTGGAAAAGATTAGCCCTCGAATCTACTTTGTCTTCATTGATATTAACTTCTTCATGTGGCAACCCAAGTGATAGTACTTCTGGAACTAACTTCGAAAAAATAATCGCTCCATGTAATTGATCAATTAAATAATCAAATCGTGCGATAGAAAATCTGTACTTGATGGTGATTTTATTGAAAGCGTTGCCATCTTTGCAGATTCTACACGACCTATGTTGCTTAGGAACTAGCAAGGCTAAAGTTGCAATATGAAAGGACTCAAGCTTTCTCTGCTCCTATTTTTGTCTCTATAACTCTTCATATTCCTTTGGACTCATTCTATATGTTTCCTGTTTGGGAATGACAATTGTTCCTAGTATGAAATCAATACAATGTTAAATGTCAATAACTCAAGGGATATCTCTTTTGGTACCACATCGGCAAAGGCCTTAAGTAGGGACAGAGCCTCACCATCTTCATAATCATCATCATATTCAACATATTACTCTGGATTTTCATTATTCTGTTCATCATCAGAGTTATCATAGACTGGATCATTGTCACAATGTTGTTCTCCATTAGAGTTATCATAAATTGGATTGCCATCACAATCTTGTCCTCCATCAAAAATTTGATTGCCATCACAATCTTGTTCTCCATTAAAGTCATAAACTGGACAGTCGTCATGGTCTTCATTATCAATAAGTGTCACAACCCTTTGATTTGGACAATCAGTGGAAAAGTACCAAAATGACTGATTTAGAATCTCAATTTGTATCCCGATGTTCGGAATTAGATGACTTAGCTCCACGTCGAATCTCTCGATTCCGCTCTTGGCTCAAAGAGCCAAAGGGATTGTTGTCTCCCACCTTGTCATCATCATCAGATGCATCTCCAGATTCCATCTGATCTTTCGTTTGAACGAACAATTGCAATCTTTCAAATTGTCATTCTAGTTCCTCGACTTGTCGTCGTAGCTCTTTGTTTTCAATGTCTCATAGATCTCTCAGACAGGGTTGTTTTCTTTTATCTCCATGGCAATTCCATATCCCCTGCCACTGTGAACCTGCCATCCACGCCCACCACGATTTTGTTCAACCATTAGCAAAAACCAATCTAAGCCCTGATACCAACTAATGTCGAAATACATAGAAAAAATGCTAAACAAACAAACTAGGGATTGATAAGGAGAAACCCTCAGTTCTCAATAACAATAATATTCAAAATTCAACAACCTACAAATGGAGTCCTAAACACCCTTTTATAAGGTGTCAAATAACCCTAAAACATAATTCAAATATTCTTTACAAAAAAAAGTTTAAATATAGTTGATTACAAGTAAATCAGCATCAAACACACCTAAAATAAGGAAATAGTAAAATCAAATCAATCTAATAATTAAAAGATTAAGGAATCAAACCACGTTCAAAATTTAAGCCTTCCATGTAAGCAAATTCTGAGTGCATCAGCCACGTACACTGTTTTGAAGTTATGTTAATTGAGCATTTCCGAGCATGAACAAATATATTTATTCAGCAAAGAAGCAACCTCAAAGCTCCCAAGGGGACACACACCACAGCTTCTCATGAAGCTAAGAGTCTGTTTTATTTGATACACTTCTAAGATAATGTGTTGGAGATAGCTTCTCTTTCTGAGATGAGAAGATCTGCAATGTAACAGGTACCACATGCAACCTGCAGAAACATGCAAAAAAAAAATATAGGCCAACCAAGGAATGGACAATGGACAAAAAATAAATATGCGGTATGCAATAATACTTATTCCTGATTACATCATTGAGATTATTTCTAATAAATGGCATTTAACACCATGCAATAGCAAATTTCTTGGTAAGTATAAGCTCTAATGCTAGTTAGTATCTATATAACCATGGAAAGCAAACAGTAAACCAGTTAATGATTAAATCGTATAGAGCCTTCAATAGGATAAAACTAGCCGCAAGAGATAACTCTGGCAACCATTTCAAACACAAAAGTTAACAAAAGGTTGTGGGCATTTCACCAAACACCTATTTTTGAAGGCAACACTCAAAATTCCACGATGCACAAATTATCTAGGTCATGCTTAACTCGTCTCTCAACCCAAGAAAAGAACCAAAATAGGAATTCAAATTCATTAGAAGAAAGGGTATATCTCAAACATAGGTTAGATTTTGAAAGATAGTAGAGCCCACATACTCATATCATGCACAAATAAAACCTAAAATGACCGACAGAAGTACATCAGAATTCATCAAAATCCTGAAATACAGGAAAAGAATCACAAATATCACCACAACGTGCAGAAATAAAATCTTTCTCATGCATAGGAAAATACACTCAGCAATCAGGTTCAAAATAGATTCTAAGCACACAGTATTTGAACATAAAATACAGGATTCCCACAAGACTGCATAGAGAAAAGGAAGATAGGGGAAGTCCAAGAGAGAAAGAGGAAGTACCTAATAGTTTCTCATCATCATCCCTGGTGTCATCCTTGTCTCCATTACCATTGCATTCCTCTGTTGTTAGGTGAGTGGCTGAGAGCTAGCAAGAAGCCATGCTTCAAGAGTTCCAATGAATTTTTTTCCTCTTGTTACCCTACCCCTGTCTGGGGTAAGATTTAACCTCAGAATGTGGGAAATATTAACATATCACCCTTCAGGGTCCTATCTCTCAAATCAGTAAGGATGAAATGAAAGCAAATTTCTATGGAAGCATAAGTGAAAAGAGAATGAAAATTTTGAGCCTTAAAATAACCAATAAATGAAAAGGAATTGATGGAATTTTCACCATCTAACTTGAGTCAATTACATGACTATAATTAGAAACAAAAGTTCAGGGAAGGTTCTGTAATCAAGAATATACACAAACGACATTTTCATGTATACCAGCACCTCAAATGCTGAAAATTTTGCCACACTAGCAAAATAGAAGGTCCCTTTTGCAACTCTGAAGCCCTCATACAAGGCTAAGCATAAAATTTTGCAGAAGTATCATCAAAAGTTGCTTTTTGCACATTCTGACAAGAACCCAACAACTCTATAGAAGTATGCCTACTTTTTGTTCTCATCTTTCCCCTTATTCTGGGGGCTTAGCTCATCATCAAAATATTCCTCATCACTATCGTCATCCTCATCATAATAATACTCTTCATCCTCATTGTCCTTATCATCCCTTCCATTTTGAAGTAATGACGCATCACTTGACTGCTGACCTCTTAACCTCTCTTGAATCCGATCCCTAATCGCAGTCCCCTGGTATACCCAGACAGTCACAAGAAAAAAAAGAAAAAGAAAAACAGAAACAGAAGATGCGAGATGCTAACTGGTAATTTGCATGCACAATAACAGTCACATATTGATTCTACATAATTAGCTCACCATCTTATGGCAACCTTCTTCGAACATTTCTAGAAACCCAGCAACCAAACGATCAGCATTTTCCACCCACTCATTCGGATGCATACCGGCATACTTTGCAACAACTTGGATCTAGGAGAACAACAAAGATGTGCATATCCATCAAAATTCCAATCCACTGCAGGTAATTTTAAAATGTGTGCTACCATAAAGCATAAATGAGAATGAATGTCCCTAGACATGACTGTAGCTTAAATATGTGACATGACATCCTTGAACTTTGACACTCAACTTTCTTAAGGAAGAATCTAAATGATTTACTGCCCTTTCCTTAAACCATGCCCTGATATATACTGCTATGCAAAGTGAGAATTATGATTGCCATAATAGGAGTACCCATGCATTCTAATCTCTCAGACTATTCCAGAACCACCGTTGTATGAACCTTTTTATATTCCACCTCTATAGTTTACTCTTACTCTATTACCTCTTCTCCTGTCCCATCCCCAAATGCATGCACCCTTGTCATTATAGGGTAAAGACTTTTACACCAACCTTTTCTTGTTGTTCTTTTACTTTATCTTGCAAAGTTTTCAGCCTCCTATTAACCCTCAGTCGCTTTTCCTGTTTATAATAAAGAAAAACACAATAACAAGAGATATAAGCTCTTTAATCAAATGCCAGACAAGATTAAGTCAATATAAGAATGAATAATTCACTTAATAACATATCTTATCTAAAAAGCATATGACATCAATGAGAAATAGACCAAATTATACCTTCACATAGCTCACACCGAGCTCTTTTCGTGAGTACCCACGATCCAAATTCCTCAGCACATATTGATTATAATCTTTCACAATCCTCATTATCACGTCTGATGTTGATATCCCTTCAGTCCGTTGTGTTTCCTTAAATTTCCCAACGGCCTTCACCTGCATATAAAAGCATACATTACATACGTAGCAGAAAAAAGACACTACTAAATTTAAAAATTAAATAACTAAAAAACAATAACAATGGAGAAAGAAAGATTTCTCATACATACAAATTCATAAACATCATTTGCAGCACCACTGGCATCAGCATATCTGTCAACAAACCCAAAATATTATATCATGCATTCACATGCTTAAACAACAAGCTAAATGTCAATATAGCTATTTTATATAAAAATAAAATCATGATTACAGACTCAACAGAACCAAAGAACCAATTAAACATAAATGTATAAATGTCACAATTACTGAGAAAAATCGGAATTAGAGGTTAGGCCTGCTAGGGCTTCCGATACTGGTTGGTATCTATTTAAAAAAATATAATTATGCTATCTAGCTAGGGTGAGTTTAGAAGCACATACTGGCCGTGGTTTCACAATAAATGTTCTAGAATTTCTTTAAATATATAACAACACTCGATAAATATTTCAAAACTCATGACAAAAATTATGATATCTAAGAGATTAATCATAGGGAGAAAATTAATTAATCTTACGGAAGTGAATCGTGAGCGACATAGTCAATGTTGTGCTTGTCAAGAAACTCTTGATTGATAACCCAAGGTGCATCAGGAATTACTTCATCCACCCATCTGTTCATGGTTAAAAAATTATCATACACACACATATGCATTTATATTTATATAACATAATTATGCAACTCACATAGTATAAGAAAAGGTAATAAATTTACAAAAAAAAAAGAAAAAAAAGAAAAGGTAATAAATAAAGGGAAATATGAGAATATATATATATATACTTGCAATGGCGGAGGGATTCATAACGTTCATCCTCTGTCATGACAGTTTTGCCCTTGTACTTGTGAGTCACTGCGTCGCTGCAGCATCCAACCAGAAGGTACGTGTTTGGAAATCTACAATTCCAAATAATGTTATGCTATTAAGTAAAAATAAAAAATAAGAATAGAAATTAAATAGTTTTTGAAAAGAGAAAATGAAGAATACGATTTCTTGGCCTGTTCGAGGGAGCGAGCATGGCCGAAGTGGAAGAGATCGTAGATGCCATCGGCGTAGACACGAACGGGACGATCGTGTGGCGGAGGAGAAGGTGCAGCAGCAGCAGTAGCAGCCGATGCCATTTTTCAATCTCATTTCTAAATTTGTGTCAACTGTGCGTTCCCTTTTCTAATTTCCTCAACCGCCCACGCTTACATGCGACTGTGCGTTAATTCCGCGTTCTTCTATTTTCCGGCTTTCTTTCTTTTATTATGATTAAATGAAAAAATTGTTACTTATTCACTATGTTGCCGACTTGGTTCGTGAAATATTAGCTGTATTTCGGATTATGCCTAGAAAACTTAAAATTAATTTCATAACCGCTGGAAGCCCATTCAGTCGGTCTACTTATATTTTAACGAGTAAAGACTATTTTTATCCCTAACAAAAAAAACAAAACACGTTTCCACTTTAATTCTTTATAAAAATAAATTAGTCAGTTAGTCTCTCATAAATTCAAGATGGACCCATTTTAGTCCTTTTGAGGGACTAATATGGGTCTTTTTTAAATTTGTGAGGGACCATAATTTCAACTAAATGGGTACACTTTGAATTTATTAAGGACTAACTGACTAATTTATTTTTGTAAGGGGCTAAAGTGAGGACCATATTTTTTGTAAGGGACCATAATTTACTCTATTTTAATTTTGTCAGTGAGAAAATTTTCTCATGTGGGGCTTATAACTATTAAAAAACCAAAAAAAAAAAAAAGAATGCACGAAAATTGTAAGATTACTAATAAAAAAAACAATTTTTCTATAATATGAAAAAATATTTTCTTTATATATATATATGCGTGACAGGTTATATTTACAAACTTTTTTGTTTACAAACTACACTATCTTCTCTCAGGGAGAACACTAATTACACTATGTTCTCCCGGGAGAACATAGTGTAATTTGTAAAAAAAATTCAAAAATGTTTGTAAACAGATCCTTCTCCTATATATATATATATATATATATATATATATATATATATATATAACAGATTATTCATATCAGTATTATTAAATCCAACCCAAGCATTAATCTGGTCACGGTCAATGGATCATTGGTCAGATCGGTGGATCACTAGTCAGATCAGTCAGTGTTGTAAACTCGGACCGGACCGGCTGGTTCAACCCTGGAACCGATAAATTGGTCATGTGACCAGTTCGTGTACCTCAATGGATCGGAGATGCATTTCAACCGGTATGGCCCGTTTAACTCGGCTGGGTTTCGTTAAAATCGATGACCTGTCAGTTCACCGAATTAGACCGTTTTGACAGAAGTGGAGATAAAAAAAGAGGGGATTGTGAGCGAGCAATGAATCAGGTATGAGAGTACTTGGAATGTTGAAGGGTCTCGTCTCGTTTCGTTCCTGTGTATAAAAGAACTCATTGGCATGAATCAGAGCTCACTCTTCCTTTGCTTTGGATATTCGATAACTGGAGCATGGGTCAAATAAAGAGAAAAGAAGTTGAGAAATGAAAAGATAATAGAGAAAGAGAGCTGATATAATCTCCAGTACTTGGAGCATGGGTTAGAGAAAGAGAAATGAATAAAGCTAAAAGAACTAGAGCAATGAAGAGATAAAAGAGAAAGAAGAGATGAAATAATCGGTAAAAGAGAAAAGAGAGTAGAGTAATAAATGAGAGTTTTTGAAATATGTGTGATTGATTTTTGAAAGAAAGTAAGCGTGGGGCTCTAGGAGGTCTACGGTTGAAATTTGAAAGGTTTAAAATTTTATTAATATTTTTTTAGTTTTGAATTTTAAAAATAAAATTTGTTTTTTAAAATTTTATACTTTCTAGGTGGGCATTTATTGGTACCATTGATAATTTGAATTGGACTCTATCCAACATTTGAATTCTCTGCAGTTATTTATATCATTAATAATTTATTTGTTAATGTTTAAAGTTCATTAAGAAATTTAATAAAACAATTAAATAATTAATGAATATAATATATTAGTTATTAAATTATATTAAGCCATATTTTTTTTAGAATTTTGTATAAATTATAAATATGTACACATTAATCCATTTTAAGTGGTTGAACTAGTGACCCACTGGTTGAACCAGTAACCCACTGATCTAGTACCGCTACCGAGTCATAAGCCGGGACGGGTTTTATAACATTGACCGGTTGACCCGAATATATATAAATATATATAAGAGGAAGGATCTATTTACAAACTTTTTTGATAAATTTTTACAAATTACAGTATATTCTCTCGGGAAAACATAGTGAAACCTAGTGTTCTTCCGGAAGAAGATAGTATAGTTTGTAAGAATTTGTAAACAAAAAAGTTTGTAAATATAACCTGCCCTTATATATAAATATGAACATATAAATTTAATTATATTCTCCATATCTAAAATGAGTTAAACAAGATTCACTAAATAAGCTCAAAAATTACCCAATCACACTTTTACATGTTCATGAAGTACAAACAAATGAAAATGTAAGCTATTACTATGTCAATTTAAATTGCAACTCAGAATCCCCATAAACATACCTCTCAATAACATTCAAAAGGTCAGAAGTTGTGAACTTATATTTTTCAAATTCATCTACATTAAAATGACATATGTCACATTCTCTTAATTTATTGTTCTGCAAATTGCTTCAGTATTGAAAACTAAAATTTGAGGTCATTGTAGAAGAGTATACTACTAGCAAATAAAATTACAAAAAAATTTAAAATGAGTTTTACATTTTTTTAAACAATTTTGGTATTTTTTAAAGATAAAAATACATGACTCGAACGGGTCACCGGGTTTGGCCGGTTTTGACCAGTGCACGGCGAGTCCGATGATCGGATCGCCGGGTTCCAGGTCGACCCGGCCGGGTCAGGCCGAGTTTTATAACACTGATTCATATACCGGTATAAGAATAATAAATATTACACTAAATCTTAATCGTTGATTTACATACATTTAACGATTAAGACTTATTATGTCATATTAATTAATTAATTAATTATTAATTTTCAATAAATTATAATCGTTAAATTGATGAAAATCAACGGTTATAATTAGTATAAGATTTATTATTATTACACAAGTGTAAGTTGATCCTATCCTTATTGCATCAATTAATAATGGGAGGCCCTCAAGAATAGAGGTGGTTGCACCCAATGTTCCAAATAACATTACGAAGGCTGCAAATATGCACGTGAAAATGGTTAATAAGATTACAAGTAGGATAGGTATGTATGTTAGGCCATTTAGAATTAACCAGCCCAGTAGCAGTAATGCGCGCCATGCAAGGTCACAAGTGTCAAGCGGAGGGATGCCTAAGGGCTTGTTTGGTAGATAGTTTTAGGAAGAAAATGAAAGGAAGGGAAGGATTTTATTAATCTCTTCCCTTGTTTGTGAGTTTAAAAAAGTGAGGGGAATGATTTGGGGATTTTCACAAATCCTTTTTGTTCTTAAAATTAAAGTTTTCCCAATTTGGGGAGTTTTAACTCCCAAACAAGGGAAGGAATACCCTGCATTTCCCTTCCTTTCCTTCACATTCCTCTCCCTTGATTTCCTTTCCTTTTCCTCCCCTCCAAACTCCCAAACAAAGCCTAAGGAGTCTCGATTTGAAGCTCTTGCAGTCAACGAGGGGGAGCAAGAACAGGAAATCGTAACTGATTCTAGTGCAGTTAATATTAAGAGGAGCATTAACACTGGGGTATGTCCTACAACGTCTACCCGAATGGTAACTCAGGGAATGTTGGGCCCATCAATTCCACAAAAAATGGAAAAACTAATGTTCACACTCATAAAAAGTTATCGTCAGCGAAGGAGGGGCAATCTTTGAACCCTATGTCTAGCCAACACGAGGAACAAAACCAAAACACACAGCTAGTCATCTATGTCCCAACTAGCCAGAAATCTGCCAATAACCATGTTATGAGTCCCACATTAGTTGTATAGGCAATTAATGTGGGGCTTATAAGCCTTAAACACTCATACCCTTTGAGCTAGTTTTTGGAGATGGTGATCTCAAGGTTCATAACATACCACTATACAAGAGAGGTGCGGTCTAAAGAGACGAAGGAAGCATTGATACGATGGAAAAAATAATTAAGAGACTCGATTACTCATAAAATGTTCAAGCTTTCTTCGAAAACCAGCCCCATCTCTAAGTCCATGAAATCGAGATCAATCCTGGGTCTTGACAAGGTCTTCACGAGACCAGGTCCTTCGACCTGGCTTTTACAAATGCTTTTCTGGAGCCAAATAAATCCATGGTACTTGCGAAGGGACAGGCTTGCAACACGCCTAATGCCTTCCCGCCAGTCGCCCCAAACAAGGAGGGGTCAAGCCTCTATATGGGGAAAAGATGATGCACTCCTGCTCATCTCGGACAAATGATCCTCCCATGGAAGCCAAGTTCCAGCCAGGAGATGAACCAACATACACCAATTAACTTTAGTTGGCGCAAGCCCCTCGAGTTTGCCAGGTTTTATGATTATGTTGTTTTAATGAATATAGTAACTAGAAATTGAGTGGGGCAGGAAAAAAAGGGTTTCCCCCTCTAATTAGAGACTTAATTGGTCGTTACAAGATCCAATTCTTAGCCTTTTTGGAGACCTGTATAAGTGGTGAACGTGCTAAGAAGGTAGGAAGTAAGCTTGTGTAACACCCCGTACTCACCCGATATATTATCAAGAATTATGGCATTAAGCTTAACTAACTTATTAAATTATTACAGCAAAAATGTGAATAAACATTTTCCATTAATTAATATAAATCCTTTTCATACATCTTCATGTCCAATTTCTTGGTCAATATTCATTTTACCAAATATTATTAATTTTCTTTATCAAGATTAAATACATATGACCTAGCTTCACGTGGTTTCAAATCTCAGTCAATTTGGAGCTCTTTAACTCTAGATATGCGTATTTTATTGCATTGTGTGTGTGCTGCCAGACCGCTGCTCACTAGACTGCTCGCTATAGCGAGAAAGTCAATGAGCAAGCCCAAAATGCCAAAAATGACAGCTTCTTGCAGTAATTTGACAACAAAGGTTGCCTCCAAGGCAATTTATTACCTAATGGACCATCCAAGAACACATACATATGCATATATAATATTCTTGGCATCAAGTCAATACATCATCACAAATTACACTTTCATCATGAATGTCTCTTAGGCATTTAGCCATTAACATATTACAACATCCATTTAACATTCATATCACCAAATCA